CAGCCTGGTGATACAGTGAGACTCTGTCTCAAAAAAAAAAAAAAAAAGAAAAAGAAAGGTGACTTTTATTGTATTCTAAAAGTAAACTCACACTCTTTCTGGAAAATTAGAAGGTAAAAGAGAAGTGGAAGGATAAAGGAGGAAAAAATTTGCCCATAGTTCCAACCGTACAGACGCAGGTATTTTCTGTGTAACTTTCACTTTGTGTGGCATCTTTGTGATCATGCTGTGGATTCAGCTGTGAATCCTGCTTTTCGTTCCAGCCCTCGATCACCTGCCCTCCCAGGTTACTGCATTCTTACAAACATGCTTCTCCATGGCGGCATCAATTTTCGGTGACGGTGGACCCTGGTGTACTTAAACAGTCTACTTTTCTTGGACATTTAGATTATTTCCAATTTCTCTTTCATATATGGCAGCTCTATTTACTTTTCCAGACACAAAGCCTTTTCCACATTTCAGATTATTTCTTTGGGATAGATTTCCAGCAGCAGAATTACTGGACCAAAAGGTATGCATATTTGGCTGGGCGCAGTGCCTCATGCCTATAATCCCAGCACTTTGGGAGGCCAAGGCAGGCGAATCACCTGAGGCCAGGAGTTTGAGACTAGTCTGGGCAACATGGCAAAACCCTGTCTCTACTAAAAATACAAAAATTAGCCGGGTGTGGGGGTGCACACCTGTAATCCCAGCTACTAGGGAGCATGAGGTAGGAGAATCACTTGAACCCAGGAGGCGGAGGTTGCAGTAAGCCGAGATCATGCCATTGCACCCCAGCCTGGGCAACAAGACCAAAACTCTGTCTCAAAAAAAAAAAAGAAAATGGTAGGAGTATCTTAAAGGTTCTTAATAAAGATTACTAAATTTCTTTCTACCAGTTTCTGCCCCAAAGCCCTGTATTCATCCTGTCTTCTCTCCTTTCTCACCAGCCTTGGGTTTTATTGTAATCTTTCCTCACTTCATAGGTTAATATACTAACTTATTGTTCTGATCTCAACTCCTTTCCTCATTTTGGTGATGGAGTCTTCTCTCAAACACCAACAACCTTTGAAAAGGCTAGTGGCCACTGAAACTGAACACACCTTTAATAAACGTGTGCCTGGTTCCGAGGCTGCCCAAGCCGCAGGCAGGATGCAAGGCTCTCCTGGAAAGTCCAAACTCCAGGAGCCTGTGGAGGATGCTCTGTGACCGCTGCCTCCTAGGTCGGGTGTCCTGTCCCCATCACGTTCCTACACTCCCCTAATGCCACCTCTTGAATGAGGACAGTGAATTCCAAAGGAATGCCTATCTGTGTTTATAAAGTAGAGGAAGAACAAAGCCAAGCCTGGCTGGACAGGGCTGCAGAAGGCACCTGTGACCCTCAGACCAGAAGGTCAGACTGCAAGGTTCCAGCAAGACTAATTCCAAGGCAGTGGATGGGAAGGAGGTGGCTTGCATTATAGATGACTACGCTGGAGGCCTGTGATTCATCTGTAAACTCCCTGGGGAGCAGGGAGCAGAAAGAATATAAGCAGAAATATGAAGTCAGGGGCCGAGAAACAGAAAGGGAGAAAAAAGGCAGGGCCAGATGGCTCAGGCCTGTAATCCCAGCACTTTGGGAGGCCAAGGCGGGCGGATCACTTGAGGCCAGGAGTTCGAGACCAGCCTGGCCAACATGGGGAAACCCCCGTCTCTACCAAAAATACAAAAATTAGCTGGGCGTGGTGGCCGGCGCGGGACAATGAGAGCCGGGATCTCGCCACTGCACTCCAGCCTATAGCCAGACTCTGCCTCAAAAAGAAAGACAGAGAGAGAGAGAGAGAGAGAGAGAGAGAAAGGGAGGGAGGAGAGAGAGAGAGACAGAGAGACAGGGGGAGAGAGAGAGAGAAAGTTACAAGTAAGGGAAAAAAACGGTGAGAACACGGTAGGATGGGGAAAGGCAGAGAGAGGAAAGTGGAAGACAGAAACGGTGACCCGCTGCTCTAAAATAAATTGAACAGGGAGAAAAAAGAGACTCAGGGGTATGTGGACAGAGAGTGGAAGCGCAGGACGAGTGTGTGCCCCAGGCTAGAACAGGCCAGAGAGCCAGACCCGGGTAGAGGGGAGGGGGCCAGCCGAGGGGCGAGGTGCGGGGAGCAGACGGGAGAGAGGGCCACGCGGAGCCGCGAACACCCGAGGAAAAGCGGCCCCGCCGCGCCACCTTCGGGGTTCCGGGCTTGGGCCACTCGCCCCATGCCCAGGGTTCGGGGACAACAGCAGCACGCGGCCGCAGCCAAGGAAGGAGCTCGCCAAAGTTTGCAATAAAATCATCCACGCCCGCCTCCATCTCGGCGGGACCTCGTGCAAATAAATGCACTCGCCCGGGCGCCCCCTCGCCCCCTCGCCCCCTCGCCCCCTCGCCCCCTCGCCCCCTCCCCCCCTCGCCCCCTCGCCCCCTCCCCCCCTCGCCCCCTCGCCCCCTCGCCCCCTCGCCCCCTCGCCCCTGCTGCAGCCCGAGCGGCCTCTCCCGCGAGCAGGTGGTGCTGGCGGCGGCGGGCGGGCCAGCTCGTGGTGATCCCCCATGGTGACGCTAGAGGGCGCGCAAGGGTTGCTGCGCCGCGCCTGGTCCGCGAGGAGCGGCCGGGTAGAAACGCAGAAAGAGTAGGGCCTGCGGGTGTCGGGC